ACGTACAAAATACTGCAGTGCAAAAAGCAAATTATTTTGAAGTATCTGTCAGTTGAAGTCGTCAGTTCATCTCACAACAACAAATTTTAAATTTGACCAATCAGTGTTCGCTATTCACGACAGTCCGCTATATTTTGAGATCAGTGAGGATGACCACCCATGAACGGTGAACCATGCGCCCGCGATATTTGATGAACTTTAGACTCCGCTAATGCTTTCGTTTCCCCGGGTGTAAATAGCCGGGGGGAATTAGTACCCTCGCACGGCGCTTCGCGCCGCCGGCTCGGGGATAAATGTAAAAAAATTTCTAGACCGACCGATCGTGCGAACGATATGATTCTGACTGTTGTCAGTGTTGAAGCGTTTCTTGTCTGGTACGTAAACCCAACGGATTTCCTGGCTTATGTAGAGAATGTGGAATTGTTATAAAATAACGAGATCCTGAGATCTAGTTGCCATCTGTGAGTAAATTCGAAACATGCTTAATATATGCCGTTTTGGCATCGCTGAGACTCTATGATCAAGAATTATGTCGAATTATATTTATCAAACGTATGGTAAAGTCATCCGATGCAGGCAAAGTCAAAGTAAAGACGCCTCCGTTGTGTGCGGTACAACTTGAATATTTAAATTGTAGACATAGTATATTGTGTAATATGCGTATATACAATTACTTCATATTTATTACAGTAAAATACACCAGGCACGTTATAAATATTATAAAGAGCTTTCATTGCCATTGGCTTTGTAGCTTGTGCCATACAGACTATCCTCAATTTTAGTTCGTAGAACTGATATAGCATGAGATCCAGCTTGTGTTTTCAAAACAAACACATGCTGCTGTGAGGCATCAACATAATTATTGACTTTATAGAATTAAACAGCCGATCAATAGAAACTTTATAAAACTGCTTATAAAATCTCATCAAGTAATTCTATGTCTGTGCGAGACTTTCTGCGTAGGCCTACATAGAGTTTATGAATTGCTGATCTATATATCTCTGGCAAAATGTAGAGACACTTTATACCATATAGGCCTAAAATAGGAAAATAGGCATGCAGTGCGTAGATGTTGCATGCCATCTGAAACTTTATGATGCGCTGGCGCTCATAACTTTTGGTTCAACTGGCCTGAGACTTAAAATATTTTGTAAGGGACCGGTCATAGAGTAAAAGTGGGGGTAGGCTGGGAAAATCATATATTTGGTATCTGCAATTTTTGTAGCCCACCCCTTATTAGCTGCTCGAAACTTTGTAGCCCACCTTTAAATTGCTGCTAAAAAATTATGACCCACCTTTTCAGAAAGGTGAAAGATACCAGCGTGGCAGCATTCTATTTTTCTGTTGCCAAATAATTCTGTGTTACAATACTCAATAGCTATTCAAGTGGTGCAATTAAATACAGATTAAAGGAATACCGAATATGGTTTTCCGTGCAGGATTGCGTGATCCATGCACGCGGGATGTTGCGAGACTTTCGGAAAGCGGGAAAATACACGAGCCGTAGGCGAGTGTATTTTTAGGCTTTCCGAAAGTCGAGCAACATCTCAAGTGCATGGATCATGCTATCCTGCACGGGAAAACCATTTGGTAATTACTCGAGCTCTGCTCGAGTCATAGTTTCGCTTCGGGTTTTTTTCGCGCAAGACTTATTCTCCCACGCGGCCGCTCTTAATTCTGGCCAATCGAAACAAATCGTGGACGCATGTGATTATTTGTGCTTATCTTATTGGCGTTCAGCGGGTTATTTGACTTCCTGCTCTTCTTGCTGGCGTTCAATGGCTCATTCGAAATTCACGACATTGAATTAAAATGGTTCCAATCATACTTAAGGAATAGAAAGCAAGTGTGTTCTGTTAATGATCAAACTTCTTCTGCAAGAACAATAATATGCGGAATTCCGCAAGGATCCATACTTGGTCCATTATTGCTTTTGCTATATATTAATGATATGCCTGACATTTTAGAAAGGACAACCCCATGTCTTTATGCCGACGACACTCAGATATCTTCCTCTTCGCATGATTACGATACATTGATTGACAATTTGAACATGGACCTTTCCAGTATTCATAAATGGCTTGCTAAAAACAAACTAAAATATCATAGGAAAAAAACAAAAGTCATGTTTATTGGATCTACGCATAATCTAAATCATAAAATAGGAAATAGACCCGTTGAGATTAACAAAATCCCAGCCATACATTTAAATGTCTAGGTGTAAATCTAGATGAAAAATTAAGTTGGGAGAAACATATTGATTCTGTATGCCATAAGATTAGCGCTGGAATAGGAGCAATTAAAAGAATAAAACCTTATGTTCCACACAAAACCTTACATGATGTCTACAAAACATTAATTCAGCCTCATTTTGATTACTGTTCTCCCCTGTGGGATAACTGTGGTTTGGGACTTCAAGACAAATTGCAAAATTCCAAAATCGAGCAGCAAGGGTGATTACCGGAGCTGACTACGATGTAAGATCGTCTGAAGTCCTAAACAAATTAGGCTGGGAAACCCTGGCTAGGAGACGAGAACAAAACAAGCTAGTATTGATGTATAAAGTCTTGGGGAACCACACTGCGCCAAACCTTAAAAATCTTTTTTCTCGGAGAAATGCATCGCAGAATATTTATGATTTACGCAATAGCGAAACTGATCTCTCGTTAAAAAAACCGAAAACGGAATTTCTAAAGAAAACATTTGGATACAGTGGAGCAATTCTATGGAATTGTCTCCCGCAAGATGTCAAGGCGGCTGAGTCAATTACGTCATTTAAAACAATGGCGAAATTGCATTTAAGCAGATGATAAGCTAATTTCTCCAGGACCAAATGATGGGAGGACAATATAGATTGTGGGCGGGAGGGGGGTTAGTTTTGCGTGAGGGTTGGTACTTGTTTAGGGGGTGGAGGTTTGGGAGGAAGATGATAAAATTTTAGGGTGGGATTCTTACATATTTTGTTCTATATATAATTAACATTTAGCTCTTTGTGTGTATACGCCCTTCGTGGAAACCAGTTGTAAATAATTGTCGAAGTTAGCGTATTGAAATAAAGTTTTACATACATACATACATGCTCTCGTGCTATTACTTTGTTTACTCTCTGATAACTGTATACTCAGTACTCTTTATACAAAAAGTATAGATAACAGTGGGTTTTAACATGCGTACTCGATCAAGTGTTTGTCAATGTATGTTTTCTACGCGTAGTCGATCAAAAGTAAACGGCTGTACGCCTTCTAAGCATACTCAACCAAAACGGGCAAACGGCGTACGCTTTCTAGTATTCAAAGCGTACTCGATCAAAACTTAAACGGCTGTACCCATATTCGGTCGACTCGATCAAAACTAAACGACTGTACGCATATTTTGTGTGCTCCATCTAGTTTATTATTCAAAATAGCCATCACATGTATCTATACTATCAAACTTTAATAATTCCATCGGAATCGAAATACTCGGTAGTCGCGGGCAATGTGCCCGGCAGTCAGGGAATTTAGTCCTATTAAAAGTGTTGAAAACATTCTCTTAAAAAAATAAAACCCACCCCACAAAACCTTAACTCCTAATCCTAAGACCTAAGCTTAAAATCATACTCAAAAGTAGCTGAAAAAAAATTTTTAACTTGAAAATAAAACTGTTGCTTGCTACGGGACTCGAACCTGGGAGCCGTGCCTCGCAAACGGGCGTCTAAAACACTGCGCCACAAGTAGCCCGCGTGCAGGCCCAAGGGAAGAATAATGGGCCTGCAAGCAAGGCCCGGTATTTTGTACTTTCCGCGTTCGCCCACGAACGCGGCATCCTGATTGGCTGTTTGCTGTTGGATTCTATAATTAGATAACTGATTCATCACAAAGGCTCTCGATAAGCTTAGAATTCGAAAATTGATCGCTTTTTTCGATTAAGAATGGAACAAGAACAGACTGTTTATTGTTTACTTGAAGAAAGAGATGTTTTTGCCGTTATGCCAATGGGGATTGCTTGTCGTGAAGTGTTGGAATAGCAACATTTAATACGACTGCCAGGGTCAACTATAGTAACCTTTATTTGAGTTTCATTAATTTCAAACCGAGACTTGATATGTTATATGTTCCTCAAGAAAATTACCTTTTGGTTGATGTTGACTCTGTTCTTGCACTGAAGAAAACAGCGCTTTTCGCGGTGAAGATTTAGAGGCAGTTGCGTGTATATAGCCTATTCGAAAGACTTAAATTGCGATTTGCAAGGCTTCGCTGAGAGAGCGAAACAGAAGACGGTAATTGCCGTTTGAAACGAAACGATCTGGACTCTGAACCCCCTCTTCTTGTGTAGAGTTATTTACCGAATGAAATAACTGAAATAAATTTTGTACTTTCCGCCACCAACAAGAATTGCACACACGATCTGATAAGTGAGACAATTTATTTATAACAGCGGCGACAACGAAGCACACATTTAAATGCTAATGTCGTCGCACGACTTCCCTTTCAATTTGAAGTTTGAGACTGGTTTTCTGTTGAAATTCGTCCTAATTTGCCTGTTCCGATTTTAGTTGAAAATGAGCACTTGCAAATTTGGCAATTACTGACTGCGTTGCTTGCTTTTTTGGACTTAAAACACAGCCATTTACACATTGTTTCTATTTTGATATTAAAGCAAGAGAAAACCCCGCAACATTTTAATGCGCGTTTGTTTGTTAATATTTGGGTTGCTGTCATTGGTTCTTTTTTGACATTTGACGCGCGAATGTGTTATGAAAAGGGGCGTTTTACAAAATACCGGGCCTTGCTTGCAGGCCCACTATTCTTCCCTTGGGCCTGCACGCGGGCTTGGTGACTTTCGTAATAAATACTGTACTTTAAAGTGATAAGCTAAGATGAAAAATAGGTACGCAATGCGTATAGGAACGCTTTCTAACGACGTAATGCAATTACTTCGTAAAACGGGGAAGTATCGAGAAACCTAGCAATCAGTCTAATTATACTAAGTCAACCGCTTCATCTAATACAAAACGTACGCGAGAAAGTTTTCTGTGAAATATATTTTATACCAACTAGCCACGTATTTCAAGAAATAAAGTTCTACAACTTGATTTCAAACCATGCATCATTGACACATTAAGTTACTGTCAAATTTAAATGTCCACATACATTTGTCAAAGACAACAAGTACTATTACAATGTTAGAACTTCAGTAAATGTACAGTACAGTACCTTGAACCTTTAGTTACATATGGTATCATCCTGATTATAGTAACAGACGAAGCAAGATATTTCCTAATCTATTTCTTAATCTTGCATGCAATTGAATTAATAATTTCATCTCAGTGAATTACTATTGAAATTAACTCATTAATGCCCAACATTTCTCCCTTGACAAGTAAATTTTCTTGTATATAGACACAGAAAACTGACAAAGTACTGTAGATCACATTAAGCCATATGCATTATAGCCTTATGGACTGTAATTTGCCCTGGATTTTTGAAATTGAAAAGTAGGAATTATGTTGTTTGTTAGCCCATTACAGGCAAGGTGCTCTGTTTATTACTACCTGTGTGGCAATAATACTTGATTGCCTCACACCACAAATTTTACTTGTCAAAGAGAGGCAGCTTTGGCATGTACAATGAGACAAGGATAGGGAAAAAACAAAGACTGTATTAAATTAATCAATATACAGTAGACCCCCTTGCTAAAGAAATAATGTTGCATGTAGGCAGCAAATAAATAAAGTGCCTGTCATTACATTCGCCCAGAATCTGTTGATGGTGACCCTTTTTCGATGGTGATCCTTTTTTGATGAATTTATTTTTACAGCATGACATAGTTGACACTTATCGACATCAAACCAACTCAAGATCTTGATATAAGACAATCGGTTTCAAATGGCCAGTTATAGGCATCATCATGACCATATAATCCATATCCAGGCTATGATTCTTTTCCTAGTGTCTTGGCATGCTAGTATCAACCTACAATATGAAATAATAAGCATTTACCACATGGCAAATGTGAAGCTTGTACTACGTCTAAGACACATTTTACTATTGGTTTTCTAAGTTGTGACTTGAGTATTCATAGCTGCAAAAACCTGGCAATGTTCATAGAGGAACTTATTTCATATTATAATATTTATATCAAACTAGTTTTTCATGGTTCTGAAATGGAATTCATAGAGGAAGCCATTGTCAGTTGCCTTTGGGTCCTAAAATTCTTAACACCAAATAATTGTGAGACTGTACTGAGGGTCTCCCAGGGCTGGTTTTAGGAAACCAGAGAACAATGCATATTTTGCAAACAGAATTCAAAGAAAAAAAATGATAAAAAAACAAGGGACCATAAAGTTGGGAAAACAAGGAAACATGGTGAAATCTTTGTGGGGGAAAAAGGAAAAATTTGCAAGGGAATACATATCCAGGCCCCATAAGATACCATAGCTTTATACTCTACAGTGAATAAAAATAATAGTTTTTCACCTTAATTATTTGAAGCTCGAGCCATCACTGGGAGTTTGGGTAATGGTCGAATGTCGAGGGTCGAGGGTCATAGGTCGAGGTTCGAGGTTCGGAAGTCGAGGTCGAGGGTCAAAAGTCGAGGTTGAGGGTCAAAAGTCGAGGTCGAGGGTCAAAAGTCGAGGGTCGAAAGTCTAAAATACTAAATTTTTATGCATTAAAAGTTTTACAACCATTAAACGCGGCAAAACAATTAGTTTTGCTGTCAAAACTGAAAAATTTCGCCTATGGCTATGCCGTATGCAGGCTATATGTACTGTAAAACTGAAAGTTTCGTTTGCGAACTGATGCGAGATTTGATGTTTGAAAGCATACATCTTTTATTTTACATTGGAGTTTAAAATATACAAGACATACAAACACCGACAATTATACAAAAATGGCGTTTCACTCTCATGAGAAACTGATTATAGCCTATAGGTAATATGTTATCTCTTGGACTTGGAGGCGAAAGAGTTCTCAAATTCTCAGAACTTCAACTTAACGATACTCTTCAAACTGCGTATGGTTTTGGAGGTTTGGGGTGTGCGAGAAACAGTTGATACTTATTTATATATTTTATAACATCGTACATGTACATGTCTGCACCGGAAGTGCACATGTTCGATTGACAGTTTCATATTCATAATATAGTTGCGAGAACGTTGTAGTGTAATAAAATGGAAAGTTTCTTTAGTACGTTATTCTGTCAAAAATAACATGGACGAAGCCCGAATTTTAGTTCGGTTCAGAATTATCTCACGGCCATTGTGAGAGATTTTTGCTGCGCTGGGACCCGATTCGTTCTGATAGTACAATAAATACAATATATTTTCGAATCACCCCACCGGCACCCCGTACGTTCTCGAATAGTTTTAGTAATTTTACACTTTCTCGAAAAACAAAAAGGAACCTAATTATGCCCTAAGGCATGTTCTGTACTAACAGTAATAAAGTTAGTTATCGACACGAGAACCTTTAAAATTTTGACAACAAATGCCAAAAATGTAGTATTCTGGAAATGTTTAATAAAAAACTAATATTTCCCATTTTCGACCCTTGAATTTCGACTTTCGACCCTCGACTTCTGACCCTCGACCTCGACTTTTGACCCTCGACCTCGACTTTCGAACCCCGACCTATGACCCTCGACCTATAACTCTCGACCCTCGACCTATGACCCTCGACACTCGACCATTACCCAAACCCCATCACTGGTGCTGCAAAGAAAGCTATGACCAATTCTTCTTCTACTGAATAATATGAAAAACTTATATCAGATTCTAAAATATAAAACCTTCATCACGTTTCAAAGGTTGTCCTCTTTTGACTATAAATGTATTGCATTTTATAAATTTTATACACAAACAGAAGCTAATTTTTATGAAAAACAGGGCAGATTTCGTCCTGGTTTATTTGACAGTGGGGTAAACTGCTATTTTGAATAATACTTGGACTCTTGGTCTTTGAACCGTCTTTCTCAAGAAAGGCTGCCTTCCTTCTGGAAAAAACTCGCCTGGCACATCATGTAAAAGTTGCTGAAGGTCCATTTCAGTCGTAAAAGAAAGAAATACTATTCCAATCTGCACTAGAAGGATTTTAAATGTTGACAGCCTGGACAGTCGCCGTGTGTTCAGCCTGTTTAAACGCGAAACCGCCACAGGCTTGTTTGTAAAAAAATGGAATGCAATATACCAAAAATTTTAAATAAAAGTCCATAAGACACAACCTTACCTTCAAATATATATTCTAAACCAGAACACCGGTACTCTTCTAGCATTTTTCTGTAAAAAAAGTACAAAATCTCAACAAAAAATTGAAGAAAAGAGCGGGAAAATAATTATCCCGGTCGGGAAATTGAACTCTTGTTGATTACTGGATGCTAATTGAACAGATTCCTAACTAACTACCGGGGAAATATTCCCCGGCACTTTGCGTCTCCTTGGCAAATGTAAACAACTAAACGATTTGTAGATTTCATATATTTTGTGATATGTCCGTGTACGGCGAAATATGCAGCAAGTTGGACAAAAAATCACACTGCGAGAGACACAATTTTAATCTCTCTGGAAGTAAGTACTCTTGATATAATACAATCTTTTGATAATGGGCCCTATATCAGGGGCGGATTCAGCGTTTTGGGTGACCGGTTTACTAGGTCCACACAACCATTAGGGGGGTCCGGGGGCATGCTCCCCCGGGAAATTTTTAAAATTTACGCCTCTGAAACAGCATTTCCTGTGTTCTGGCGTCACTTTTTAAATGAATTTAATGATTAGAAAATATATCTTTTAAGAGAATTTTGGACTAACACGCAGCTCAAACGATGAATTGGACCTTTTTGGAAACCTATTAGCTAGTGCTGAAAATATAGGATTGGCAACTGAATTGCTGACGCATCAATAGTTATTATAAGTACAAGTAGAGATGCTTTTAATATAAACATAGTTGTAATTTTAGATCTATACGCTTTCGAACCAACTTTAACAATGAACTAGAAACCAAACTGCAAGAGCGTGAATAAAGCTTCACAAATTTGACAATCATTTCCTGATTCTCTCTCGCCAACGCAATGATTCTGTCACGCAAGATTATACGTACATTATCATATTTCCCGCTATCATATGTGTATAGACTGTAGTTACACGTACTATACAGTAAGTAGAAATGGCTTATCGTTATAACTTTAGACTATATACTTCTAAACAAACCTTCAAAATGAACAAGAAATCCATGTAAATGCTTCTATCGCCAACGCAAAGATTCAGTCACGCAAAATTATAAACATATTTCGCGCGTCCTCGAGTTCTGTTAACTTTCATGCCCAGTTTTCTCTAAATGCTGCTCGACTCACAGGTTTATGAC